ACCCGGGACAGGGTGGTCCTCCTGCCTCTCTGGGCCCCCGGCAGGTAGGGTCCAGCCCTCCTGAACTCCTCAGGAAGGGGCAGGATAGTGATGGTGCCAGCCAGCTGACAGCATTGCTGGTCCCCTTCACCATCTCCCCAAGGCCTAAGTGTCCTTTGCCAGCTGCTGGCTCACGTGCTACGGCCCTGCTTTCAGCCTTAGTTTCCCTAGTTGTCCAAAATCCAGATGTTCACAGCATAGTGGAAAAAAAAAAAGCTGGTAACTCGCACAACATTGTCAGTTCTCCACTTTGTCAAGAAAGGACATTACATTTTCAAAAGCAGCCAGCATCTCCCATCCCCATCATTTCCCAAAAAGAAAGAACATTTGCCACGAAAGGAGTCGCAGGATGTACTCCTAGAACAGAGGACAGTGACTGGGGAAGCGCCCAGTCTGGGAAGGGGAGGGACTTGTCCTGAGGTCACCCAGCAAGGCAGCCAGAGGGCCCGGTCTCCAGGGTCCCCACCTTAGAAACTGTGTCCTCCAGCATTTGTTTACAGGGAACATTTGGTGCAAGAGGATTAGACCAGCTTCCTGCCTTCTAGAACAGTTTGCTTAATTACAGACATGAGATGGGCACCTGAACGACTGGACGCTCTCACTGTTTCTTTTAATGAAACACCTGTATTCAGAGGAGGATGGTACCCAGTTGTCAGTGCCTGTTGCCTCCCATGATCTGTGTCCCCTTCTCTTTCATAGTTTTCCCCTGGGCCTTCGCCAGGAAGCCCCATGTGACAAACAAGGGAAAGAAAATCTAGCCATCTCCTGGCAGTCATGACCTGCGAGCACACACCAAGCTTCGTACACATCACTTTGTGGTCAGGCCTGGGGTGTGACAGAGTGTTGGTGTATCTGAGCAGTCGCTGCGGACAGGATGAGGGGCTGGGCTCTCACCAGCGGGGGGTCTTCAGGGGGATGCCCTGCACCTGGGCTCCCATGGTGGAGGGTGACGGGACTGGGCGAGCCCCTGTGCCTGGGGGCAGCTATCCACTGCCCAGGAGCGGACATTTCTGAGTGAGCACCGCCTGAGCTAACTGGCATAGTGTTGGCACAAGGCTGGGCAGGGGCTCGGGACACGGCTGGCTGCTGTGACCGGGAGAGGAGGCGCGAGGCTGGGAGATGAGCTGTGCCCTCACTGGCCTGAGATGTGGAAACTGCTGAGGATGGGGCACTGGGTGATGGAAAGGCTGGGGGGTCAGGACTGCAGTGGAGGCTGAGAGTGTAGGGGGTGGGGGGACGTGCAGAGCCTCGTCCTGGGGCTTGGCTGAGACTCCTGTCACTTCCACTCAGAAACGTGAAGCAGTGAGCAGTGCTGGTGGAGGGAGTCCTGGGAAGAACCCCCTCCTGCCGCACCAGGTGAGCCCCCCAGGTCAGGGCCAGCCCCGCAGGGGAGAGAACAAGGGCCGGTTGCACCCTGGGCTTGTATTTGGCCTTGGGCAGGACCCTTACCCTCTCTGGGCCTCACTGTCCTCATCCACCAAAGGCCCAGGTCGCCACATGCTGTCCCCTCTGCCTCTCCCCTGCAAACCTGAGGCCGATGGGTCCAGGGTCTGCCAGGGCTGGGCTGGTGCCCTCTCTCCCCTCACCCCAAACCCTACCCCAACCCCCTCCAGGGAGGAAGCTCCTCTTCCCAGGAGCACCGTGCCCTTCTTCCAGGAGTGGGAGTGAGGAGACTGTCTCAGGATGGCCCACCCTTCCTGCTCTGGGACCCTTAGCAAGTTCGTCTGAGTTCTGAGCTTCCTTGGCCTCAAATGTAAAATGACGGTCTTGAAATCAGTGATCTTGAAACCCTTCCTTCTGGCTCATTTGAGATGGTGGGACAGAGCAGAGAGGGACATACTTAGCCAAGGAAGACCTCCCTGAAAGCTATTTACAGCCTAGAAGGTACACCTGACCCCCAATCCTCTCAGGCCTGTGGCCCTGGTTGTTGGGACTCTAGGGGAGGTGGCAGAGAGGGTCTGGGACTCCCAGCTAAAATTGTGACTTCTTAAGGGCCAGCACTGCACACCCACATTACTGGTTAGGTCTTCAGACTGATGGGTCTCCTTGGTCCCATTTTCCAGATGAGGAAACTGTGGTTCAGAGCAGCCAAGTAACTTGCCCAGGTTACATGGTGGGTCTGGGACTTCAATCCAGGACTGTGGGACCCAGGGAGCTCCTTTTAAGGGGGGAAGGAAGAAGAACCCAGATTTGGGATGGGGTGACGGCGGGGGAGGAGGTGGGGGCAGGGCCCACTCTCCCTGGGCTGAGAGAGGGAGTCTCTCTGGGGAAGAGGCAGGCTCCGAAGCTGTTGATCTCTAAATTACAGCGTTGGCGCACACCGGTTGCTGCGGCAACCGAGTTGTCCTGAACCGGGGAAGTGTATAAACATTGCCACAGATGCACAATTAGATCAAGAAGAAGAATAGAAGAGAAAATAGAAACTTCCAGCCTTATATAATTCTGGGCCAAAACGTTACTAGGAGCCCGGGCCCGGGCTTGGCCCTGCCAGCCGCGGGGGCCCCTGGCAGCACCATCTCTCTCCTTGGGCCCCAGTGGAAGGGAGGGGTGGAGAGAGGGTCTGCCCTGCATGGGCCCAGCTGGGATGCTCGCCACCCGGCAGGGTGAGGGGCCGCCTCCGCTGAAACAGCTGGGGATGCTGACAGGCGAATCCTACCTCTCCCAAGCTTCCTCCTGCACCCAGGAAGCGGGAAGGAAGGCAGGAGGGCAACTTAACCGAGCACCTACTATCTCCTTGGGTCCTGGGAGGTAGTGCTGTAACCCCCATTTCAAAGATGAGAGAACTGAGGCTCGGAGAGGTGAAATGAGTTGTCCTCGGTTTCATAGCTAGGTCATGGGTGTGTCTGCCTCCCCCGCTCCAGGTCTCCACACCGCGAACTCATCCATATTGACAGCACTTGGGAGCTGAAGAGTTAGACACACCTGGATTTGGACCCATGTACCAGCTGTGTGGCCTTGGACAGATCACTTCTCTGAGCCCCTGTTCCCTCAGCTGAGATACGGAAATAGGGATGCCTACATGGGAGCCAAGGCTCAGGGCTCCCCTTACCCTATGTCTTGACCACCACTCTGGAGTCTTTACCCGTCACTGCTCCCAACAAGTTTGGGAACAGGACAGAAACTGAGGTGGGGCCTTGGGTCCCAGCACTGCCCAAAAGAACTTTCTGCAATGATGGGAATGTCCTAAATCTGCTCTGTCCAGTATGGTAGCCATTAGCCACATGTGGCTACTGAGCACTTGAAATGTGGCTAGGGAAACTGGGGAACTGAAGTTAACATTTTATTTAATTTTAATTAAATATAAGAGCTACAGGTGGCCAGTGGCTGCCAAATTGGCCAGCACAGGAGAATGTCCAGTCCCCTAGAGGCCCAAGAGTGCAGAGGCCGAACCCAGGGAGGTAAGCAGGGGCCAGAGCATTCACAGCTCCCCCTGCTCAAGGCAAGTGGGACAAATGGTGGGAGGGTGATTCCAAGATGGGCATCTGGAAGTTCCCAGAACAGTGGGCAAAGGAGGTTTGGTGGCGGCAGGGGAGGTGGGCAGTGTGAGGGGCTGGGATTAAGACCTGGATTCTGGTGGCCTCAGCTTCTGGTTCCACAAACCCCAATCCCAGAGCTGGGCTGGCACCAGCTCAGCCCCCAACACTCCCTCTCTGTCATCAGAGCCACCTTAACATTCTGCCCATGGAGTGGAGGAAGCCTTGGGTCCTAGTCCAGGCCCTTCCTCTTCTGAGCGTCTTTGGGTGGGGGTCTTGCTGCCCCTGAGCCTGGGTTCTTGGGCCCTCAGAGAGCCACCCTCCATGGCAGCCACTCCCTCCCCAGCGTCTCATATGTCTGGCTTCGTCCCCCTAGGCCCTGCGTCTTCTCAGGCAACCACGCCGGCTTCAGGACATGCACGGGCACAGCCGCAACGGGCAGGCCCACGTGCCCCGGCGGAAACGCCGCAATCGCTTTGTCAAGAAGAACGGCCAATGCAACGTCTATTTCGCCAACCTGAGCAACAAGTCACAGCGCTACATGGCGGACATCTTCACCACCTGCGTGGACACGCGCTGGCGCTACATGCTCATGATCTTTTCCGCGGCCTTCCTCATCTCCTGGCTCTTTTTTGGCCTCCTCTTCTGGTGCATCGCCTTCTTCCATGGTGACCTGGAGGCCAACCCAGGGGGGGCCGCGGCCGGGGCCCCAGCGGGAGGTGGTGGGGCGGTGCCTGTGGCCCCTAAGCCCTGCATCATGCATGTGAACGGCTTCCTGGGCGCCTTCCTGTTCTCAGTGGAGACGCAGACAACCATCGGCTATGGGTTCCGGTGTGTGACGGAGGAGTGCCCACTGGCGGTCATCGCCGTGGTGGTCCAGTCCATCGTGGGCTGTGTCATTGACTCCTTCATGATCGGCACCATCATGGCCAAGATGGCGCGGCCCAAGAAGCGGGCACAGACGCTGCTGTTCAGCCACCATGCGGTCATCTCGGTTCGCGACGGCAAGCTCTGCCTGATGTGGCGCGTGGGCAACCTGCGCAAGAGCCACATCGTGGAGGCCCACGTGCGGGCCCAGCTCATCAAGCCCTACATGACGCAGGAGGGCGAGTACCTGCCGCTGGACCAGCGGGACCTCAACGTGGGCTACGACATCGGCCTGGACCGCATCTTCCTGGTGTCTCCCATTATCATCGTCCACGAGATCGACGAGGACAGCCCACTCTACGGCATGGGCAAGGAGGAGCTGGAGTCGGAGGACTTTGAGATTGTGGTCATCCTGGAGGGCATGGTGGAGGCCACCGCCATGACCACTCAGGCCCGCAGCTCCTACCTGGCCAGCGAGATCCTGTGGGGCCACCGCTTCGAGCCCGTGGTCTTCGAGGAGAAGAGCCACTACAAGGTGGACTACTCACGCTTCCACAAGACCTACGAGGTGGCCGGCACTCCCTGCTGCTCGGCCCGAGAGCTGCAGGAGAGCAAGATCACCGTGCTGCCCGCCCCGCCACCCCCGCCCAGTGCCTTCTGCTATGAGAATGAGCTGGCCCTCATGAGCCAGGAGGAAGAGGAGATGGAGGAGGAGGCTGCAGCCGCTGCAGCCGTGGCTGCCGGCCTGGGCCTGGAAGCAGGCTCTAAGGAGGAGGCGGGCATCATCCGGATGCTGGAGTTTGGCAGCCACCTGGATCTGGAGCGCATGCAAGCCACCCTCCCGCTGGACAACATCTCCTACCGCAGGGAGTCCGCCATCTGACCTCCAGGCCCCTCCCATCACTTCCCCACAAGAGCCTCTGCGGGGGGTGGGATGTCAGGACACCCCCTCCACACTCAGGACAGAGCTCATCCTGACTCCGTGGACCTTCTGGAGGGAGATGGGGGTTTCAAAGACTGGAGAACCCCTTCCTACTGACACCAGAACCCAGGCCTGGAAAGGTCCAGGTTACCCTCGATCTGATCAGCCTGGGTTCCCCAGCATCTACCCACTGGCGGCTCAGGAACCCTAGACCCACCACCCTCTCCCCACCGACCCTTTGAGGACGTTCCCCCTTTGCAGAACCTCGGGGAAGGCGGCTGGACTGCTGGGGGGTGGGCATCTTGGGGTTCTGGGGTGGGCTGGTGGTTGCTTGGGAGGGTGGGAGGGGGGTGCGTTTCTTTTGCATGACTGTGGTCTGTTGCTCATGACTTTCTTTTGTAAATATCTATAAATGGAGAGATGGAGGCACCAGATCCACCTTCTGCCATTTGTACCTGCAGGACAAGGAGGTGCAGTCCCTCTCTGTGCACCCCTCTCCCTCCCCACCTGTCAAGCCCAACCCCTTCCCTGGCCCAGCTGGCTGGTCTCTTGAGGCCCTCAGAGCCAGCTGTCTTGGCCCCTGGATAGTGTTGGTTTTGGGTGCAGAAGTGGGACCCCAAGGAGCAGGATGAAGGCCCTCCCTCCCTGTGGTCCCTCTGGGCCCCCAGGCCCAGCTCAGGTTGACAATGGAGTTTGTAACTATATATTTTTAATAAAGTATATGGTCCATTAGGGGTAGGCTGGTTGAAGATGGAGGGTTGGGAAGAAAAGATAGAGGGCAAGTGGTAGAGAGAAAGGAAGAGATTGAGCGCAACATGATGTGTGTGTGTGGTATGTATGTGTGTGTTGTATATAAGTGTGTATGGAGTGTGTGTGTATGTGGTATTAGTGTGTGTGTTGTGTATGTGTGTGTGCCCTTTTCTGAGAGACTGACCCTTGGAGGGAAATTTATCACCTGCTAGTTTCTTTCCTGGGAGCCAATGAGAAGGCTTCTAAGTGAGCATGAGGTTTGATTGGGTTTAAGTCAGAGCTTTGCTATTAACTAGCTGTGTGGCTGTCAGCAAGCTGCCCATCAGCTCTTGGCCTCAGTTTTATTATCTGTAGAATGTAGAATGAACCATATCTCCTTCCTAAGGGATGAGGGGCAGGAGAGCCCTGTGTGGATGTCAGCCAGTGCTTTATAACTCAGGGAGAAGTGGGAAGGGCCCGCTTGGTTTATACACCGCCCCCTACACACACACACTGGGCTGGGCTGATGAACTTGGCTGCAGGACACTGTGGTGGGAAGGGTTCTAGGGAGCAGCTGGGAAACCTGGTCATAGACTTGGTCTCTGGCTCGGTGTGGGACCTTGGGTAAGTCCCTTCCCTTCTCTGGGCTTCTGTTAGCCTGTGCTGTGTAACAACCACACTAAACTTAGACCACATGGTTTGTTCTTTATAAGGTTCTGTGGGTGGGCTGGGTGGTTCCTTGTCTGGTTTCTTTGGGCTCACTCCAGCCCTGCTCAGGAAGAACACCAGCCAGGCCCTAAGGTCCGAGCAGGCCTCACTCACATGTGGGGCTTGCTGTTGGCCCAGGGGAGGGGGCTCAGTGCTCCTCCAGGGGCCCCTCCTCCTCCAATAGGCTGCGCTGGATTCCTTCATGGTGTCTTGGGGCAGCAGCCTACGAGGGGGAAGGCAGAAGCTGCAAGGTCTCTTGAGCCTAATCTTGCACTCATTTAACATTACTTCTGTTCTATTCTGCTGGTCTATCTAGGTCGTGATTCAAAGGGCAGGCGATTAGACGCAACCTCCTGGGAGAATGGTCAAGTCCCACTGCAAAGGGTGTGCATGGCAGGGGGAATTGCGGCCATCCTTGGGAGTCTACGCAGAACCTTGGAGTTTGAGGGGTACTTCCAGCTCTAACTCTGTTGTACCTGCCACCATGTACCCAGGGTACAAGGAAGCAGAGGGCACCCCCCCCCGTTCCCAGAAATCTTCTATGTCAAGGTGCCAGCTATCTCAGGAGCCACAGAGAACAGCAGGCAAGTTCCCCTGCTGTGAAGTGCTGATGGCTGCTTTATGAATGACCACATCTCGTCAGCACTGGCAACATTTGGCCATGTGGGTAAATCCACATTTTTAACAGTTTAACAGGAGAACCTGGAGAAAGGGATCCAAATCCCCACAACTCATCACAATGTCTTTTATTTGCATAACATCTTTCAGGGCAGGTGGGACAAGGATTTGGTCTCAGAGAGGAAACGGATGGCCCTAGAACTAAAGGGCGATGAAGCCGGGTGAGGACTGTCAGAGGCCCAGGGGCCGGCTTCCCCTTCACTCCCATCCCTGAGGCAGAGGCTAGGTGAGGGGGCCAGGGGCTGACTCTTTTCCTCCTTTGCCCCCACCCAGATTTGCCAGAGTGCACTGTGACCTTTGGGGACCTCCAAGGGCCCACAGGGGCCACGCAGCAAGACAAAAGTGCCACTGCTGCCCTGCCCACGCCCCTGGTGCCCTTCTGTCAGGTGGGAGCATCCCAGAGTCTCACCGCCCACCCCCCGTGGGTGTCCCTCCATCCAGCCCTGCGGGCCCCAGGGAGGACCTTGGGGGATCTCATGCTTTCCTGCCTGCTTCATCTCAGTGATGCACTGGCCCCCTGGGCAGCCAGCAGTAACCACAGAGGACCTCAGACTCAGGCATCCTTGGACTCAGCACCTGTGACCGGGAACACCCCTTAGAGGCTGCCCAGCCCTCCACCCGTGAGGGCAAGAGGGGAAAGGGGTACCTGTGGGGTCCACCCTAAGAGGGCCTCCCATCCAAAGTGATGTGGGGGCACTTCAAGTTTCCTCACAACCCCCTCCTTGTCCCCAGTTTGCCACTTGCTCAGACGCTTGTGACAATGGCTCCTTGAGGAGGGCCTGTCTCTGTTTACCAGCGATTGTGGGGGACGCAGGACAGGCAAGTTGTGACAAGGGCCCTTCAGTGAGGACTTCCTGGGGTGTCAGAGTGGAGGGCACAGCGGGTAGGGGGTGCATAGGGGCCTCGGCCACAGGGGTGTGCGCCCAGAGCCTGAGGCGAGCACACAGCTGCAGCGAGGCTCTGAGGCTGCAAACCCCGCTGCTCGGCTCTGCTGACTCACCTTCCCTCTCCCACCTGCTCCCCTTCACAGCCCTCCCACCTGCTCCCCCCCTGCTCCCCGGCAGGCAGGCAGCTCCTGATCTCTCTCACTTCCTCCGGGCTCCTGGCGGCACTGAAATAGGGGGGATCGCTGAATCTGGGGGTGTAGGAAGCTTAGCTCTCACGAGCTTGGAAGCACTGAAGGGGCCTTGGAGGGACCGCCAAGCCCTTCCTCAGCCTGCCCATCTTCCCTTCGGGGCCTGTCCCTTCTCGCTCTCCTTCGGTCACAGCCCCAGGGCCTGGTGGGCGCTGGGAGAGAAGGAAGGGGACAGCAGGTGGGAGAAAGGGAGAGAGAGGTGGGGGCAGGGGAAGGAAGAGGCGTGGGCTGGCCAAGCTGACAACCTGCCCTCCCCTGTCTGCAGCCCCGCCAGCTGGGCCTGATTCTTGTAGGTTCATCTTCCGCCAGCTGCTGAAAAACGGATTTTCCTTATGAATTTCAACTGCTTGAAGCAAAATGGTAAAAGAACCTAGAAGAGATTCAACTCAGCGGTTTCACCTCGTCAAATCCTCCCCTTATTTTTGTTAGTCCTTGGTTAGATCATGTGGCTGTGATCGCAGGCCCCCTCTTCCTGGATCTGGCTTTTCTCATTGTGGGTTTTTCTGGGTACTGATTTTCCTTAGTATTAATGGATTCTACATATTTCTGGGTTTGGTTGTTTTTTGTTTTTTGTTTTTTGCTGGGGGAGGGTAGGTAATTAGATTCATTTATTTATTTTAGTGGAGGTACTGGGGATTGAACCCAGGACCTCATGCATGCTAAGCATGTGCTCTACCACTGAGTTGTACCCTCCCTGCTCATATTTTGGTTTTAACGACAATATTGTGTTCGTGAAATCACAGAGCTCAGCAGGCCAACCCCTCATTTCCAGGTGGGGAGACCTAGAGGGGAATAACCTTGAACCCCACTCTCCTGGATCCCAGGCCAGTGCCCTTCCCTGGGCACCAAATACACAATCTGTGGGGCCCATTCCAAAAGGAAAATGTGCGCCATTAAAGGCACTGAAAACAAGACGTTTTCCTTTCTTCAGATTACCTCCCTTGCTCATGCGCAGGCCTCCTCGTCTTCACTCCACCGGACTTCACTTACAAAACACAAGCTCAAAGATAAAATTAAGAATTTCCAGATAGAGACCAAGCTTGGGTCCCTCCCATGAAGCCAGTGCTCTGAGGAGCTCTGTTGGCCAATCCTTCCCCTCCTATAACCAGATGAATGCCAGCTTTTCTCCAGGATACGCAATGCTGTAATCAACATCTTTGTACAGTTTGGTTTGTTTGGTTTTTTACCTTTTTTTTTTCCTTCTTGTGGTTACTTGCTCAGGCTAAGTACTAACAGAATCTGGGCTGTGTTTGCCAGACTCTTTAAAAATGCAACCCCCAGCATCTGAATCCTTCCACAAAGACAGTTTAGAGTTGGGTCCCCAGGATTAGAAAGGGGAAAAGTTTCGAAACCAAGTTCCTCCTCCACGGCTTCTTAAAGGGCTCCCTGTTGGCAGGGTGAGCACACATGAGGACAAATGGCTGGCAATGGGCACAGCACTGGTACCAGGACATGGAGCCAAAGCAATGGCCTTTATGTAGATATTTATAGAGGAGGAAAGATCATGAGTGTGAGAGCCACAGGGGCCTAGGTATGATTTCTGCCTCTATCAGTTACTAGCTACATGACTTTGGGCAAGCTGATTTATGTCTCTGAAACTGTTTCCTCATCTGTTAAAGAGGGCCACTCATATCCATGTCACATGCTTGTTGTTTGGATTAAATGAGATCTCATATGTGACCAGCACGGCATGATGTTGGCCATATTATGGACCCAAGTAAGTGTAAGCTGACTTCCAGTCAGGATTATGATGGGCTTACCACATAAGACATAGCTTGAAAACTAACCTGTGAGCTTCCTGGCAGCCAAACAAAAAAGGGAAATGTGATAGATCACTTAGCTCTCAATGTATGAGGACTAAGAGGCTAGAGAAGGAACTTGGGTTCTGACTTAACTGTGTGATTCTGGATAATCTCTTCAGTTTTCTGAACCTCATTGCCCCCATCTTCAAAGTAAGAGGACCTACTCTTACTGGACCTAATGACCTCCAGGCCCTGACACATCTGACAACCTAAGACTCCATCCCTGTGTGCTTCAGAACACAGCTGGAGGTCTTGAGGAAATGGTGGGAAAGGACAGAAGTGGCACTTGGCAAAATTGAGAAGATGCCCACATCTATCTTTGCCCCCTCCTGCAATCACCAGCATCTTTAAGGGCCCCCTACTCACTCCATTCACTGCCT